GTGTATAATTCAACACGTAGTAGAAACAAGTATATGAGTCGAAGTTTATCTGTTCCTTCTAGTCCTTGGAGGATTAGAAGCGATATCTGGGCCCCTCGATGATTTTGTTTTGACCTATGTACCGGGCCCGTTCAGAACTAAATTGATGTGTTCGATTAAGTTCTTTGTCAAACAAATCGGAAATCGGGAAACAAACTGCTGGACAATAAGTAAGACATTGTTCCATGTATTTGTCCGGCTGATATCATGAGAGCAGAGGATTATATGATCACTTATCTAAAATGGCGCTTCATAGTTCAACAGAGTTTTCGAGAGCTACGATTGCCGGTTGGTTCCTGAAGTCATATAGGCAAATATAGTTATTAGACTTATCCAAGTGGGATACTGTTGGATAAGGTGTCTAAGTCCATAACTTATTTGGTATATACTTGACCCGACCCGGCATGGTCCATTTGGGTTGCACTTCACCCGAACTATTTATATGGATAACATTATGAGAAGAGTATATTTGCGGCTTATTAATATATTATAAGTTATAATATATTAATATGAAATTGTATTATTTAATTAGTATTCGTCTTAAATTAATTATGAATTAATTTAGTGATCAAATGGTGACTAATTAAACATGGGCTATTATATTTATATAGTGTGGGCTAACACTCATTATGGTAATGGGCTAAGCTTATATGGGAGTCCATGGATGATCCATGGAGCTCTTAACCCATGGATCCTTGGAAAGGAAAAGACATGGGTTATTAGGGTTTACCCTAATCATGTGCACTATATAAACAAGCTTGTGATGCATGAAATGACACCCTAGTGTGTGTGAAGAAAGGTGGCCGATTTCTAGAGCATAGATATACTCTCTCATAAGTTTTCCAAGTTTGTGGTGATTTGTGATTTCCATTTGAGGCATTCACATTATTGGTGCTTGGCTCTCAAACTCCTAAGGAATCAATTCACAAACAAAGGTATGTAATTCATGTAGTTCTTTTATGTTTAAAAGTTCCCCATGCCATACTAGATAAGTTATAAACCTTAGAAAACAAATTTTGCATGTATTTTAGACAAACATAGATCCAAGGTTTATTAGGGTTGCATGTACACTTAGGAAGTGTTAGAATGCTCAAAACCTAACACTTCTGCTGCGGTGGAGATCTGGATATCACAGTGCAAAGTCGTTAGAGCCGCCCCAGGGACTGTGCCCCGGGAGCGGACTCCGACGGTCAAGTTAGATCAGCTAGAAGATCTGAGATGGTCCTCCATAGCTGGAGAGAACCATCTTGGTGCTAGTGGCTGACGGCGGCGGGTGGCGGCTGAGCCACCCGGCCGGAGTACAGTGGCCGCTGAGCCATGGGGTCTAGTGGTGGCTGAGAGCCACTTGGGGAAGGGTCCTCCTTCATGGAGGAGGCACTATTCTATTTATAGTGGACAATTAGGTCAAGGGGAATTGGGTCAGGCCTTGGGCCAGCCTAATTCAGGCCCAACTAGCAAGGAGCTGGGCAAGGCCGCCCGGAGGCACCGAGCGGGGCTGGCGGGCGCGCACCAGGCAAGGCTGGAGGGCGCACATCAGGAACGGATGACAGGGGAGCACCAGGTGAGGGAGCGCCTGGCCGGGCCGGCAGGACAATCCCCAGCAGGGCTGGCAAGGGAGTCCCCAACAAGGCTGGCAAGAGAACGCTAGGCAGGGCTGGCAGGAGCGTGCCAGGCCAGGCTGGCGCGCTAGAGCAGTCTAGGCCAGGCTAGTGGACCATATATCATCAACATGCTAGATCGAGTTTAGGGACCTAGATCTATCTTTTGGACAAGTGTTGTACACCAGAAATCGAAGAAATAGCCTTGGACAGTATCGACCCGGCGAGTCGTTCTTGGGACTCGGCGAGTCCGAGGTTAGACTCCCCTTTTCTGTTATGGGTCAAAGAGACCCAGTGGAGTGCTGGAAAGGTTTTAGAGGGTCCAGGGGAGTGACCCAACGTATTGGGCTAAGCCATAGTCCTAGAGTTCATAGGACTCGACGAGTGCATGAACAGACTCGGCGAGTCCAAGGCAATCTCCCAACTCTTGAAGATGAACTCGACGAGTTGTTCATACAACTCGGCGAGTCGAGGACGGGACTGGTTCTTAGGATGAGGATGAACTCGACGAGTTGTTCATACAACTCGATGAGTCTGATGAAGGTTCATTTGATGCTCATATAGAAGGAGAACTCGTCGAGTCATTTCTAAACTCGACGAGTAGAGACGTGGATGAGGACAGTTAAAAGGTTAGGGACTCGACGAGTTGGCGGCCCAACTCGGCGAGTCAGGTCAACTGGAAGTTGACTTTGACTTTGACTTGGACTTGTTCAGGGCTAAAATAGTCATTTTACCCTAAGAGTAGATATCAGATTGACAACATTGGCATGGCCTAGACTGCTCCAGCGCGCCAGCCTGGCCTGGCGCGCTCCTGCCAGTCCTGCCTGGCGTTCCCTTGCCAGCCTTGCTGGGGACTCCCTTGCCAGTCCTGCTGGGGACTCTCCTGCCGGCCCGGCCTGGCGCTCCCTTGCCTGACGCCCTCCTTGTCATCCCTTCCTGGTGCGCGCCCGCCAGTCCTGCCTGGGGCGCGCCCGCCAGCCCCGCCCGGCGCCTCCGGGCGGCCTTGCCCAACTCCTTGCTAGTTGGGCCTGAATTGGGCTGGCCCAAGGCCTGACCTAATTCCCCTTGACCTAGTTGTCCCCTATAAATAGAATAGCGTCTCCTCCATGAGGGAGGACTCTTTCCGAAGTGGTTCAGCCACCACTAGGATCTCTCCTAGACCTTTTCCCCTAGGTTCTTACCCCATGGCTCAACCGCCACACTATACTCCGGCCGGGTGGCTCAGCCGCCACCCGCCGCCGTCAGCCACCATACACCACCACCAGCACCAAGATGGTCCTCTCCAGCTATGGAGAACCATCTCAGATCTTTCAGCTAATCTAACTTGACCGTCGGAGTCCGCTCCCGGGGCACAGTCCCTGGGACGGCTCTAACGACTTTGCACTGTGATGTCCAGATCTCCGCCGCAGCAGAAGACCAGAAGACTCGTCGGAGGTCGATGTCGCAACATTTGGCGCCATCCCGGATTCGAGCAAGTAGCAAAAGCCTCAGTTGGTTTCAAGCTCGATTTTGCCCAGATTTGTTCAAATCTGATGTGTTTTCATCTAAGATTTGTTCAGATCTGTTCATTTCTACCCACCATTTGGTTCAGATCCATTTGGTTTCTACCAAGATCTGTTCAAATCGATTTGGTTTCGCCAAGATCTTTCAGACGTGTTTAGTTTTTTGCTCAGATCTTTAGATCTGTTGAGTTTTTTGCTCAGATCGTTAGATCTACCTTGTTTTTGCTCAGATATCTAAATATGTCTTGTTTTAGTTTATTTGAGCACTTCTCAAGTTAAAAGATTTTATCAGATCCATATTTGTTGGATTATTCAGAAAGTTGCGGAGAAAAGAGATTTCTATGAGTTTTTCCCCATCTTTGTTCATATTTTCGAATTTTGTTCACCAAGTTGAAGAACAAACAATATTTTACAAGTCTTTACCTCTCTTGCTTGCTCATTTTCAAGAAAATCGGTTGGTTCCTGATTTCTAATGTACAACTCCATTTAAGTTTTTTATTTGGTGCTTCCTCTAGAAGCTTAGAAATGGAAAACAAAAGATTTTCAGATCTGTTGAGCAAGCTGAAGAGTAGAGAAGGTTTAGTGAGGAGAAAACCTTGTTAGATTCGTTTTTGTTCATATTTTGGGGGTTTTCTCAGTAAGTTGAAAAGAAAATAATTTTTTATGAGTTTTTATCTCATTTTCAGCCCATATATTATCAGAAAATCGTTTTTAGTTAAGATTTTCTATGAACAACTTTACCACTTGCATCAGCTGTTTGTAAGCACAGCTGAGATGTTTGTACATTTCAAAAAAAAAATTGAGTTCTTATCCCACTTTTGTTTATATTCTTGGTGTTTCCTTTTAAATAGTTTAGGAAAGGAAAACAAAAAAAAATTTCAGATATGTTTCTTGGTTATACCTTGACAGCTTGTTGAGCAAGCTGAAAAGAAAAGGAAGATTTCCGAGCAATATCATATTAGATCCGTTTTTAATTTATAATATGGGATTTGTTCAGCAAGTGGGGAGAAAAGAAGTTTTTAAGAGTTTTTATTTCATCTTCAGTTCACATATTACCAAAAATCGTTTTTAGCTACGATTTTTTGTGTGCAATCTCATCTCTGCAACAATTGTTTGTGCATACAGCTATATAGCTTGTACATTTTATAAAACTCTTCAGAAAAAAAGAGTGGAGAGGAGTTCTATAAGAAGAACTGATATCTGTAAAAAAGAAAAAAAATTCTTATGAGCTTTTTACCATCTTTCAGTTGTCATATTATCAAAGGCTAATTTTAGTAATCAATCTAAATGTACAAATTTCTTTAAGTTGTGCTGTAACTAGTAAAAGTTATTTTTACTTCATAGTTTTACCATTTTAATTAATGGTTATATATAAAAAAAACAACAAAATAAAAAACAAGTATATATGCACAGAGAAAATCATCTTTACAGCTCACATTTATTAACACAAAAAATACATCAAAAATGGTGTATGTCTTGTCTATCTACTGCCGAAAAAAAGGGGGGGGGGGTAAAGGTGCACAGTGCAACAGACAAATGACAAGACAAATGACAGAGCTGTCAACAGTAAAAACCAAAGCTGGACCCACGTGGTCCACTTCTCTATACACAAAAACAAAGAAGATGGGCCCCACCAGCCTATTGCTTCTCCCGAGTGAGGCTGCCTGTACACCTTCTGATCGTCGGTCATCAGTCACCCGCCGGGCGACCTCCAATCATCAGTAGCTTCCATGGCTAGTCGATCCCAGCTAGACGACGCCCCCAGCAGGAAGGCCCCGACATCAAGTGCCTCCCTCGAACATTGTTGGTCGTCTCTAGTAGGCGGAAACCATCAAGCATCGAGACTTGTGCAAACAGTCACTCACCATCCCGTGTGACTCCTCCCGATGAACCACAAGTGGACCACCTCCAATCGCCTAACTTGCTTAGCACCGGCAACCTCAAGCACAATGTTTCCGGTGAGCTCGCTGCTGCGAATCCCAACATGAAACCAAGCAACACCTGAATCTTCTTCTTCAGCGCTCCCGGTGACTACCCAACAGAGTGACGTTATTAGAAGATGTCACGCAGGTCTCATCCATTGTTAAGCTTCGAGGGGAACAAAAGAAAGAGAAACTCTCCACCATGAACTCCTTTCAAATCTTCACCAACACCTCTGATTTCCAGTCATCAACTAGTGACAAATTCCAAAGGGGAACAACCAAGGCTTTCTTCAATCACAACCTGTGCCAAGTGCTGACCCTTGTTTCTCGATTATCACCGCCTGCTGAACCAAGTATCGCCGATCCTCAACACCTCCGACTCATCTGCACAGGAAGACCGTCTTCCCTCTTGAATCCACCTCCGGTCGCCGACATTAGCCTCCAGACCACCAGTCGAATCCATCAACAACAAATGTAATGTCGACTGATAGCAGCCCACCGGACCACATTGCTTCTTTTAAATGTTAACCATCACTGGCGAAATAGCATCTTTAGTCTATATCTACAACTGACGAACTCCTACGGGGAACTATCAAAGCCTTCGTAGGCCTCCCACCGCCGATCCCTTGATGTTCCGTCACCACCCAGTCGACCCCTTCTAGCCGGCGACTGGCAAAGCACACCCAACAGCACCGCCGTATTCACCTATCGGTGCAACCCAGCTCCGCTGCCCCTCCTCCGAGCAAAACGTTCCCCGGCGGTACTCACTTACCTGTTGGCCTCCGGGGACGCAACCCTAATGTTGGCCACAACAGTTTTAGCTCACCGCCATCATCACCGTCAGACCATACCTGTTGAAGACATCCTTCAAGAGAGACCTGGCGGAGCGGCGATGCCGGTGTAATCGAAGCACCAACCGTCGTGCCATCTTCCGTCGGCCCAATAGGCATGCGTCGCCGATGATCTGGCCGATCCGATCCTTTTCTCAGCCGACGATACCAGGTGACCAGGAGTTACTACTCGTTGACCATCAGTGGAGTTCACGGCTCCGGTGTCTCAGACATCCTCAATCGCCGACGTTGCGTCTTTTGGATTCCCCTTTTGACAGATTGAGTTTGTAGGGTGCAGTTGGAATAACCTCGCCTCTGTTCAAAATTGGTAAAAGAAGCACAAGCGGGCCCTAGGTGATGCCTTTGGTCTGATTGGATCAAATTACACACAAAAAAAAATAGAATATTTGGGCTTACAACTCCATACACCCTAATGGGCTGCACGTGGGCTATAGCACCTTATCTGGGTTTCCCATATACTTCAACATTTGGGCTGCCTTAAAGGATTAAATGACACAAATTTTTCAAGAATAAATTGGCCTTTCAGTCTCAAGTAATATGACTTCGTCCAACATAATTCGATTTTAGAAGATGTTTTACAGTCCAATCCACTCGGAACTTTCCAAAAAAAAAAATTTGAAGCTCGTGCGCTCCACTTCAATCAAGATAAATCCGCTTCTAGAAGATGCGGTCCAGCCAGCGTGACGTTCTCATCAAAAAAGGGGGGAGGAGAAGAGTAGTGCATTATTGCTACTACTATTCATGAAGCGTTTAGAAACAATCGTGACGAACAATATGAATCGATTTATTATTTCAAGAAAAAATACTAACTATTTGATCGAGTTGTCTTTTCAGATAGTCGCTCCAGCATCGCTACACTCAGAGTGCGCCAACAACAAACTCGCGTAGCAAAGCCTGGTCTGTAAAGCATTTACAGGGGACTTGTGAAGTGTGCACCGCTGACCAGTCACTCAAAGTTCCCATCCAGCGGGCATAGAAATATAACTCCCCACCCGGTGTTGGCTGCGGGTCTCATCCCCCTCACCGAGGTGCGCGTGCAACGCTCAAAGCGTCTATTTCTATTAACATCTTTCAGCTGTGACTGGAACGTGGGAATCATGGACCAAGTGCGTTGTATCTATTTACAAAATTCGGAGCTCGACAACGGTCTTAGAGACTGTAGGGCGAGGCTACGCTTCCTAGCTACCCCGGTCCGACATTTTATCGACATCAGTGTCGTGTAACACTCTTTAGCAGCCTCGGTCCGCATGATCGCAATTATAGTTACGTTGCATCGCACCGATCGGCTCGCACTCCTCTCAATGAAGGAGTATCAAGTCAGCTCAAGCTGCATAAGTAATGATTGGCTCTTCGCACAACCCCACCACTCTCGTGGGCGAGGTTCGGTCATTTCTCTTTATTATTTATTGTATTGGTACTTTATCTAGTCTGATCCGATTGTCAGCAACCCAATCGCATCAGACTAGGGGGACTTGACGACGGACAGTTTATATGACTAGTTCCAGTCCGATGTCATTGGACGCGTACCAATAACACCAGACCGGGGGACTTGATGATATATGGTCCATTGGCATGGCCTAGACTGCTCTAGCGCGCCAGCCTGGCCTGGCGCGCTCCTGCCAGTCCTGCCTGGCGTTCCCTTGCCAGCCTTGCTGGGGACTCCCTTGCCAGTCCTGCTGGGGACTCTCCTGCCGGCCCGGCCTGGAGCTCCCTTGCCTGACGCCCTCCTTGTCATCCCTTCCTGGTGCGCGCCCGCCAGCCCTGCCTGGGGCGAGCCCGCCAGCCCCACCCGGCGCCTCCGGGCGGCCTTGCCCGGCTCTTTGCTAGTTGGGCCTGAATTGGGCTGGCCCAAGGCCTGACCTAATTCCCCTTGACCTAGTTGTCCCCTATAAATAGAATAGCGTCTCCTCCATGAGGGAGGACTCTTTCCGAAGTGGTTCAGCCACCACTAGGATCTCTCCTAGACCTTTTCCCCTAGGTTCTTACCCCATGGCTCAACCGCCACACTATACTCCGGCCGGGTGGCTCAGCCGCCACCCGCCGCCGTCAGCCACCATACACCACCACCAGCACCAAGATGGTCCTCTCCAGCTATGGAGAACCATCTCAGATCTTCCAACTGATCTAACTTGACCGTTGGAGTCCGCTCCCGGGGCACAGTCCCTGGGACGGCTCTAACGACTTTGCACTGTGATGTCCAGATCTCCGCCGCGGCAGAAGACCAGAAGACTCATCGGAGGTCGATGTCGCAACAAGAGTAGATATCAGATTCTGACTGAGTGTTTTGTGGGGATTATAGCTAGAGGATTTCCGGAGCAGCAGCAGACAGAGATTTCCCGCACAGATTATCAGCAGCTACTCGTACGAGGTGAGTTACCTTCCAGTAGCGGTGAGTCTACGACCACAATGCCGGACCACCAGTAGGAGTTGTATGTTAGATGATCGTCTTTGTGATATTATCTAGGCTTGCTACTACCTGATATGTTGTATGCTGGCATGATATGTTATATGTGATAGTAGTAGAGTTCGGTTGTTAGGACCGAAGGGTAGGCCAGGCACCCCAGATATGTCTGACAGTATGTTATGATATGTTTATATGCTGGCATGATATGTTATATGTGATAGTGGTAGTAGGAGGGGAATAGTCCCCAAGTTCGGTTGTTAGGACCGAAGGGTAGTTCGGACACCCCATATATGTCTGATAGTATGTTTATGTTATGATATATGTGATAGTAGCAGTAGGGGTTGGAATAGTCCCCGAGGGTCGGTTGTTAGGACCGACGGGTAGGTCAGCAACCCAGAATGGCTTGACATGGGTAGGTCGGCACCGCAGAATGGCCGTACCGGGTAGGTCGGGCACCCCAGAATTGCCCGGCAGTATGTATGTTATATGATTGTATGGTATGTGGTACGATTGGGGGAAACTCACTAAGCTTCGTGCTTACTGTTTACAGTTTTGGTTTCAGGTACCTCTTCAGCGAAGGGGAAGGAGCTGGCACGGTAGCGGCACATCATACACACACGCATGGGTTTCCGCACTTGAGATATTCTGGGATTGTACTCTAACATGTTACTACTTTGTGATTTGGGTTTTCAGACATGATATATCAATTTACGAAATGATATAGTTTTACGTAGTTTTCTTATAAATGTTTCTATAATCAATTAATTAAAATGAAATTTTTGGACTCAAAATTTGGGATGTTACAAGTTGGTATCAGAGCCCTGGTTTGAGGGATTCGGAAACACCCTCGGGGGTGTCTGGACTCAAATCGAGGGATTAAATTTTTTTACAAGAAAATGGTTTTCTAAAAGATAAGTTAAAAGAGATCGGAGAAAGAAGAAAGTGTGTGATGTGCGCGACCGGCCGAGCTCAAGTAAGTATTCCCCAAAGTACCCATACAAGTCTATGTTATGTTTACCAGTTTCAGTAGAACAACATGCTAGAATAAGACTAAGGATCTAGGAATGATGCCTTATGTGCCTGCTTTATGTGTTTCAGCTTATGAGAATTGCATGATAGTATTGAGTAGACAGTAGTAGGATAGCCTGTTTAGGTTATGCCTGATAGTATGAGCTTAGCATTGTATACTAGTACAGTTTCCTGTTATGAGGATAGGATTGCTTGAGATCGTTCCCTTTTGTCTGAATGCTGCTTGCTTTGTGCTTTGTGGGACTTTGAGTGATGGGAGTTAGCTATTAGGTGAATACATTAAAGTCACATGTGATCAGGGTTGAATAATCTTAGAGGATTGGATTTGACCCTATTTCGCAGCTCTTGTTTGAGTCCTAACCATTGTAGGGATGAGTCCCTTACTCGAAGGATTATCCGGGCCTCGTTGCATGTGATTGTATTCAAGTAATGGCTAATTGGCATTACCAAGAGGCCTTCAGCAGCTGAGGACTGATTAGGGTGAAGTCAGAGGTACCCTAGGACAAGCCTAGGATGAGAGTGGCACAAAACAGTAGTAGTAGAAGGGACTTGGTGGAGTTGAGGCGGTTCTTGAGGAAAGTACGGGTAGATGTGGAAGGTAGTATGGGCCCGTACTACTGAAAGCAGAGGATCCGTACTTGAATCAAGGAAGGATGAGGCAAGACCAGGGAACTTGTGATAGATGTGATCCCTCTAGATGTATCAGTATCACTGACGGTTGTCATTATGTATTGCAGAATGGTGGTACTATGTCCGAGGCCAGCAGTTGGCAGCTCTGGAGAGGGATCGGGTTCGGGTTCAGGTTCCGAACCGGTGGATGAGAGGCTACGTGAGTTCATCACGTCCGAGATCACTAGAGGCATCCTTGATGCGACCCCGATCATCTTTGGGTCGATCAAGGAAGGGATTGTCGAGCTGATGGAGGATCGCCTCCGGGCGTTCAGGAGCGACATGGCGACCAGCCAGTCGGGATCACACACACTGTCCTTTAAGGACTTCAGGGGCAGCGGTGCACCGGATTTCCAGGGGGCGAAGGACCCCATTGCAACCAGGCGATGGATTGCAGACATTGAGTCTGCACAGTTGACCAGCTTCTGCCCCGAGGGGTCAAAGGTGAGATATGCAGCAGGGTGCTTGAGAGACAGGGCCAGAGATTAGTGGGAGTTGGTTGGTGACTCTCTGGGAGCCTCGGCTGTTGGGGCTATGACGTGGCCGGAATTTGTGACCCGCTTCAGGGCGGAGTTTGCACCTGCAGTGGAGCTCCAGCAGTTGGCTAGGGAGTTCTTAGACATGAGACAGACTACGGAGATTGTGGCGGAGATCACCGCCAAGTTCCGGGAGAGGGCGTTACTGGTGCCCCAGTATGCGGGAGATGAGGTCATGAGGAGGACCCGCTACCATGACATATTGCGAGCCGACATTCGGGAGCATGTTAGTTTTTCAGCTTGCCCTACCCTGGATTCCATGATTGCTAGGGAAAGGGAGAGGTAGATTGATCTGGAGCACATCCGGAATAGGAAGGTAGAGGAGGGGCAGGTGACTGGGGCTTCGGGGAAGAAGCCCAGGGGATCAGATGGTAGGCCGAAAGGCCAGTCAGGACAGGGCCGCTGCAGGAAATGCGGCAGGCCACACGAGGGGGCATGTAGGTTGGGATCGTCGGGCTGCT